ACTTTATCCAGAATTGCTTTTTGTGTTGTTGGCATTCACAGTTCATGTACTAAACTTTTCCATAGTAAGTGGCACACTGTAGCACTGTCTTCCTGCAGAATAAGCTCTCTCAATGACTTCGTTGTTCCTCATACTTAGCCCAACAGTGGCAAAACCGAATTGCAGTTTATTTTTGTTGCATTTGCATAGAAGTTTAAAAGTGGGTAAGTGGTCAATTCTCATGGCAGCCAGAGGGAAAAGCATGGTAGAAGTTTCACCAAAAGAACCTGCACCAGAATCATGTCCTCTCAGGGCTTTTGAAATGAGCTTTCCTCTTAAGGTGCAAAGGAATTGAATTTTCCAGTCAGCTGGGGTCGTGTTCAGAGAGTCAGAGCAACACCCTGGGGTTGACAGCCCTGCTCTTCACTGTGTTATCTGCCAAAGAAAAGGTGAAAATGCTTTTTCCACACTGTGAATCTGTTAAAATACTGATCCATCTTCTCCAGTCTCAGCCTTCCCAGAAAAAGTTCACTTAACATATCTTAGAACTGAGCTTTGGATATTTAAATCCATTGAATCAAAAGTAATTTTTTGAGTTCTCCCTCCAGTGTTGCCTTTTTTCCCCCAAGTACAGAAACTAATGAGATTTTCTTTCATTTAAAATTCTCCTAAGTCCAGGCATTAGACACACAGTGGTAGGAACACAAAGCGTCTGGATTTTTTTACCTAGACAAAGCACTTATGTAACACACAGCTTGTAAGTAGCTTAACAAATCCAGTACCTGATGTGACTGTGACCATGCATGCAAAGTTTCAACTTGTACAAGGAGAAAAAGAAAAATAAAGCTGAGTGTAAATGGAAATGCTTTCCCATCTTAACTCTGTGGTATTATCATCAGTCACCAGAACCTTTTTCCTGTGTAATCTCACTTTTTTCATACCCGGTTTGCTCAGTGATGCTGTAATTCCAGCATTTATAGCCTTACATGATTTTATTTGCTGCTGCCTGTTAGACTATTGCAACAAGTGACTGCAAGAAGTGAATAAGGCAGGTATAACCAGGTCAGTTCCTGATACTAATATCAAGCCTTCTCAGGGAAGTGATGAAAACTGCATAATTGAAGTTATTTATGAGGTGACTTGATAAAAAAATTGAGAAAAAAGTGACAGTATAGTACAATAAGAGTTTTTCTTCTCTAATTTCTATTGCTGTATTTGAAATGTCCCTTGGACTGTATTTTTGCAGTTCAGAGGCCAGTTTAGAGAAAAAAATTGATCTTTATTTTGTGCAAAAATGTGTGTGTGTGTGCATATATGTATTTTCTTAAACATATACATACCTTATGTCTAAGTTACGGTGCTCTGGCATGTGATATTTCACAGTACCATTTACTATCAGTCCTCAAATAATTATTATTATTTCTTTGTTTAAAAGGGCTCATAAAGGGCTCATGTTTTTGCAAATTGCAAGTTTGACAGAGCACATAAATTCATTAGCAGGGAGGTCAGGTGTGCAAAAACCTTGACATATCAAAATAAGTCCTGACCTGGCTACTGAGACAGTTAGAAACAAAAATTTTAGATAGATACTTACTTCCCCAATTTTGTTTTAAGCTACAGTCATCAATTATTTTGTAAGTCGAGAATGAATTTCTGGTGTAACTTTTTTCCAATTTTCTCTGTCATGATTGTGATTAAAAAGCCTTCTGCTCATGTTATTCTCTGTAATTTGACCTCAATAGCTTTCTACTTTTTGATACATGAAAATAATTAAATGATGATTAGATAAATAACACATCTGAAAACAGCGCTGGGTAAATAACAGATGAACATTACACTTGATAGTGTAATGAGACTGAAAAATGTTTTTCCATCTGGGTAAGATCCTGAGCTAAAGTTATCTTTTCATCCTTTTCTTCAGGAAAGAGAAAGTTGTGCAGAATGAAATTGGAATAGTGATGGGGAAAATGCAGTTCCTCTTTGCACCTTTTCAATAGCAGAAACAAGAAGAAAATCAGGGGATAACAGAAGCAAACCTCTCTTGGTCTTAGAGCAGTTTTTAGCACTGATGGTGTATGAGAGGAGACTCATGGGCTGTGAGACCAAAATCTAGTGCAGTGCTGATAAGATGTTGTAACAAACAGCAAAAAGCCAGCAATACTGTTGTGCTCATATTTCTCTGTCAGGTGGAGCAGCTGCTACATACATCTCCCAGAGCAGCAGCTTAGTAAATGCTCTGAATTGCATTTTGAATCTCTCGTCGCTGCCTCTCTGGGGAAATGAGTTAAGGATGTGTAGAAGAACCACGCAAATAATCTTTTTGTCAGGAAAAAGTAGCTTAATTCAAGCCAGTATTGAAAAAGAGATAAAATAGGGTTTAAGCTGTTATCATATGCGGAGATATTTGAGGTTGTAATCTGTATATTGATGGCTATTTAGTCTGAAAATAGTCTTTATTAACTCAAATATGTTGAACTTGAGAAATTAAACAATATGAAGATAAGAGATGCTCTACCCTGGATGATAATGTCAAGCTTGCTAAATGCGAAAAATGCAAATCCGTGTGAACAGAGCACACCAGCTAGGACAAGGCTGGAGAGAGAACAGCTAGGAAAACACCAACAGAAGATACCTTGAGAGAGGCAAAATTGCCACCATTTGGAAAAAAACCCAAACCAACAAACCCAAAACAACAAAGACAAAAAGCTAATATAGAAATAAAATTCTGGATTAAGTTGCTACTTTCTCTGCTGGGATCTGCAAAGTAAAATTAACATTTGTTGCTCCCTTCGAGTATAGAGATTGGTTGTAGAGCTTTATTCAGATGATGGATTTTGATAGACATACTGTAAATCTGAAGTATATGGTTAGAATATGTGTGTGTGTTTCCCCAATATATAAGTGGTGGGCTTTTGTTGAATGGTTTGTTTAGGGGTATTTTTACAAAAATTTTCTTCTTTTGTCAGATGAAGTGCCTACATGACCACAGATGCTGCAGAACTGTTGTACTTTTTTCTAATTTTACTGAGTTTTATTTGTCTTTAGGATGACTACAGAGGAGGCATATTTGAATTAAAACAGTAGTACCAGAGTGGTGCCAGTGAGCAGAAGTGGCACCCAAAACTATAAAGGTTATTTTGTGGTGACACAGTTTTGTAAACATACAGTAACAAGAACACAATTTAAACGCTAAATTCACTTTGGAACAGGAGGAAATAGTAAAATAGAATTGTTATATGTTGCAGTAGTTACCTCACTTGCTGCTGAAATGCAGTTGTTCCTGGGGATGTGCCACAGCTCTGCAAATACCCTAAAACAGTTTAAAAATTTGAGAATAATTTACTGTAGTGAGATAAGTAGAGTGAAAATACCAAAGTGCACAAGCATACATTGGTTTGTCCTGAGTACACTGGAGAGTAGCCATAGGGGATTGATGTAATGGGTCCTCCAGAAAAATACCAGAGCATTGTTTATATAGTACTTCTTCTTCATTTAAAATGATTTCATTTTGGTTTAGCGTGTGTGACAGTTTAACAAGCATTGACATGGCCTGACCATGCTTTGGTAATGTCCATCTGAAGCACATCATCAACACCAGTAATGAAATCTGTCATTTCTGTGTGAGGATTAAAAAAAAAATCCAAAAACATTGAATTGCCTATAAGTAAGAGTGGATATTGTTTCGGTCCCAGCTCAGAAAGAGTTTCCTTCAGATGATATATGATAGTGCTTCTTTTTTTGTATATTTTTATAAATTTTGTTTAAAATTTTAATTTCCAATCCACTGAGAATCAGTAGCATCTATTCCTTTCTGTTGCAGTCTATCTTGTTAATTCGATAAAGAGTCTGTAGGCATTTCTTTTGCATATTGTGTTCCTTTTTGTGCTTTAAAAAACTCCTGCTACACTGTATATTATTCAGCCATTTGTGGCTTGAAACACTGCCTAAATGCTGGCTTATGTTTCCCCATTTTCAGGCCGTAGCTTTTTATGTCTCACAACTCAAGTCTTGCAGCAATAACACTGAGTTCCTGCGATGGTTAGAATAACACCACCCATTTGAAAATATCATCTGCCACCACTTTATTGCACAATGAATAGATTTACTTTGGAGGGTTGCAATATCTCATGTGACTTTCTAGCTGTTTTTTAGACACGAAGTTTTTATATAAATTCCAAAATAGTTTTGCCTTCCATGGCTCTTTACTGTTTGGAAAAGTCAAAGTGGAAGATTTCTGCCTGAATTCCATGTATAGGAGAACCTTCAAAAAGTTTTTTCTGTATTTGCTCATTGTACTAATATTAAGCCAAACTTTGCAGAGACTTCACTGCTTGGAAGTACTATCCATGTTCTGTCACCAGCCTTATCTGTTAAATCCCAATGAGTGTGAAAAATGAGAAAAATCTGGGTTTACTTGGCTGTTTCAGCAGTATGTTGAGAATGGCCAGATTGCTGGAGAAGACGACTGTCTTGGAAACCCTAACAGCCCGGCCTTCTCATCTGTAGGCACATAGAGCTCATCTGAGTGTGTAAATAAAAATAAATAATGCAGTGAAAAAATATGCAGAGTATTTTGCTGAAGTGTTTCAATTTTGGATCTGCCATAACTAATTTAAATCTTTGGTTGGGATTTATGCAGGCAGGAGGGTCAGGTTTACAATGTTTGTAATTTAAAGCTTTTCTGCTACTACACCTTTTCTACTTTTATATCCTGTCATGATACCTTTTCGCTGCAAAGAAAGTCCCTTTTATTCCCTTCTCCTTTTCTGCTTTGAAGAGAACATTTGCTTCTCCATTTATATGAGGTAATGAGAAGAGAGTAGCTCCGGATTCTTTAAATCAATCTAATTTGGCTTCTTTTAGTGTATAGAGTATCCTTCTTTTGCACAGGACCTTCATTTCTTTGTGCAGTAGCTCCATTTCCAGCACTCGGTATCTCACATGCCTTTTTAATTAAAAAAAAAAAAAAAACCCAGCAAGCAATTGTCATCCAAAAGGCCGTGGTGTGTTCTCTCTTTCAGGCTGATCCACGGAGGGCAGCTGTTAAACGGCTTGGCGGGGCCCACGGTGATGAACGCGGCTCCGTTCCTTTCCACGACGTGGTTTTCTCCGGACGAGCGTGCCACAGCCACGGCCATCGCCTCGCTGCTCAACTCCCTGGGCTCTGCTGCTGCCTTCCTGGTGGGGCCTCTGGTGGTGCCACCTCCCAACGGCACAGCTCACCTGCTGTCACAGAGCAACACCCAGCACATCAAGGACCGCATCGAGGCCATGCTCTATGCAGGTGTGGGTCAGCCACAACACCTAAAAACAGAAAATGTACATGCTTTCGTGTGTGGTTGGTGCTTGAGAACCACTACCCTCTAGTGGCTGGTTTGCACAGGATCTAATTTCTGGCTGAGGGAAAATAATTAAGTCAGGAGGCTTCATTTTTTTTTTCCTTTTGTCTAGGAAAGGTTTTAAAATAGCCTTTTGTACAGGCTAACTCAAAAAGAAGTAATTCAGTTGTTTGTATCGGTTGATTTTCGGAGAAATGTCTTCTTAGAGTTTCCCTGAGCTTCAAAACTAGTTTTTGCTTACTGAATTTTCATTAAGAATATGTTTCCATGACAAGTTGGGTTTCTTCTACTGTTTCTGTAAGGATGGAAATTCAGTCATCTTTTAGCATTAAATTCTTTTCTGCATTAACTGAGCCTTAATTTATGACCTGCATGTGCCTTTCAAATGTGATTAGATTATTAATATTTCAGAATCTACGGAATCAGAAGCATTGAAATTAAAACACAATAAATTTTTTTTTTTAGCTAAAATCACATAATTCTTACTGGTGAGCAATTTCAATGAAGTGACAACGGTTTAGTGGAAAAAATCACTGATACAAAATTCACCTTGGATAAAACCTGGATTTTATGCCTTTGCTCTTTTTATTGCAATGGTTTCTATGCCTCTTCCTGCCACTTAGAAAAATTAGCAGCAAACTTTAAGGAAACAGGATTGATTAAGTGGTTTAAGCATCTACATTCTGAGTTTTAGTGGATATAAATTGGTACAGCATTAAGAGTTGCACATCTGATAGGGATTTTCCCCTCTTATAATTGCATCCTCTGAAATTGAGCCAGGAGTTAGTCCCAAGTGTTCCAGAAGTCCTAACATATATATACTGTGTAGTTTATATAGAGGTTTAGGGGATTGAGTTGGCTGTTTGTGATCATTTATTCCTGGACATTATTCTTAAAAATATTTGTCAAGTTAATATTCCTGTTGGGTGAGGGCCACTTTAATGTTTGTTTTAAAGAAAATGCAATAGAATTTGGATCATTACTTTAAGTATTTTTGAGTAACCTACTTCTTACTGGACTCGAATGGAACAACAAGGAAATTCAGGTTGGGCTAGGCCTTTTTCACAAGTAAATATGATGTTAGGCTGTGAAAATCTTGTGGCAGATGAAAATGGCTAGTGTGAAAGAAGGAGAAATGAAAGCAAGTCAGGTTTTGCTGTCCTGACGAGCAGTAGATAAGGGGAGGAAAACCGTAGCAACTAGAGAAATGCTTTTGCTCTCCCTCCATAGATTTTCCATGGAGAGGGAAGAATTCATGTGCCTAGGGAAATACTGTGTTGTGCTTGAAACCACTGTTTTGAGTCTGGTAGTGCTAGAAATGTTGCCTTCATCAGTGCATTAGATTCACATTCTCTTCTGTTCTCTTTTGGGAGGTTTTCCTAAGCATTTTCCTCAGAAACAGGGATGGATGTTGCCACCAAGGTTCAGGTCTTGCCTGCCTCACGTCTAAGCATGGCTCTTTCTACCTTTCTGAACTGGCAAGGGTGTCGGAGCACCCTTGTAGACCTGTTTAGGATCACTGGTCCCAGCAAGCCATGATCCTACAGAAGCTCTTCAGCTTCCTAGGAATTGTATTTTGTCACTTAGTATTTGAAAGTGCTTTGAACAGAGATGGGTTCTTTGTGCTGGTGTTTGTGTCCTACGGGATGTGTATTTTCAGAAGCTGCAAACCCTGTAGCTGTTCAGACAATGACAGAGAGCTGCTTTGTGAGCATTGCTGGCCTGCAGTGAATCACAGTAATGATGGAAAACCTCCAACTGGTTTAAAATTGCAAAGAACTGTCGAAGAGGAGTTTGCTTTGAATCCTTCATGGTTTTTGTTCTGTCTCAGCTTAGCCCTGTTTCCCTGGAGAGCTGAAGGCACAAGTGTGCTGCTGACTGCTTCCCTGTGCTCTCTTGTGCCCTATGGGCTCCAGAGGTGGAAGGACAGCTGCTTCATGGTGGGTGATAGTGAACAGACAGCTCTGTTCACCTGTGGGACAAAAAAATACCTGCTAGGTGTGATAGGGTACTATTATTTGTCCCCTTAAGCAGCTGTGCAGAAAACGTGGCTCAAATTGACTTCACAGATCAGTAGTAAAGGTTTTGCAGAATGTAGAAGAGCAAGAAGCTGGACCCATATGTCCCACTTCTTCAGCAAGTGTGGTCAGATTTGGTATGACCTGTCCTTGCAGATACTACAGGAAAGCCAGTTTCACAGGGTAAGCATTCTGCATTTCTAATGAGCTTGTTGCTTTTGTGTGAACTAGTGTTAAATAAGCAGCTTCCAAAAGTTAGAAGGTGTTTTTCAAAAGACAGTAATGATGTATATTGTTAACTTGGGATCAGTAGTGTGCCAAGAGTGTGCAAATTTTTTTATGTTTAATCAAACATGGTTACGAAGCAATTGCTTATAAACCCATTCTGAAATTGCTCTGTTAACCCTAGTCTCTTCTATGTTTTAATAAATTGCTGTTCACTTATCTCAAACATAGACTAAGAGCTCAGCTGAATTGCCACAGCCTCTTTCTGTGTCATCTGTGTCACTGCACATTCTGGTTCACAGCTCAAGTAGTACAGATGTAGCAGATCAGGATTGAATTGTATTACCTGAATTGCGTAAGGAAGCATGAATTATTCTGGACTGCAGCCAGAGCTTTTGGCCTTCTGCTTTCCTAAATATCAATGTAAAATCATTATTTGTTTTAATTTAAAAAAAAAGTGTGTGTGTAAGGGGCCCTCATGTTCCCTGGAATGTTCCCACAGACCAAAGTGGGGAGGAGGGTTTCTGGGATTGAACAGGATTTTGTGCTATGAGTATCCTGTCTGAAGGAAAAATACTTTGTTTTCAAGGAGGCTTGTGGTTCTGTAAACATTTTTTTGTTTATTTATTTATTTATGTCTTTCTTTCTTTCTTGTCTGTTTGGGGTTTACACAAGCATCAGGGTGCTTCCTAGGCTAGGATGCAGGCATCTCATGTCACAAGTCACTGTGGTGTGGAACCCAGCTTTTGTGAAGCATTCCAGTTTCACTCCTCATCAAGTACACAGATTTGTACATATCTGTGTCTCTGCACACTAATTTATGAGCTGCCCCATTCTGTGTGCTTTGCTCTGTTTGAGAGCATCCATTGCACTTTTGAGGAGCTGGCAGCTTCTGAAGAAGAGCTTCTCTTTTGTAACTGCAGCTCCCTTGCTCTCAGCACTGACCTATTTCTTACCTTCTCAATTTTGCTTACTTTTAGTCACTACTTACCTGCCCAGGAAAAGTTTAAGATTGTATTTTTCTTCCTCTAGTCTGGTAAAGTAGACAGTGGAGATAAAGGTATGGGTTTCCTATTGAGGAAGTGTTGTAATGCAAAGGAAGGATTTCAATATGTAAGAAATCAGATGTTTGGCAGTGCCTGGACTTTTGATAGAGGTGTAAGTATTGTATACAAAGCTAAGATGGCACTAAAAACTTATATTCTTCAACAGAAGATGCTTTTGTTTCCACAGTGAATTCATCACTTTCTATTTGTGCATGAGAGCAGAGCTATCTAGGCAAATTTGTTAGCCTGCAAAGTAAAATACTGGGAAATATTAAGGAGTTACCAGAAGGTACTACAAGGACAGCATGCTGAACTTAGTAGTTAAAAAAAAAAAAGAGAAAAAGAGGGTTACTATACTGCTCCTACTACAGCAGTATGACTGGTAGAAGTCTTAAGGCAGTGCAGAGATGAGGCCCCAGATGGGCACTGGTTATGAAATGTTTCTATGACTTTGAAGAATTATCAGTGTGGTTTATATTCTTCAAAAAAAAACCTGGCCTTTCACCTTATAGCATTGCAGTATAACAAAGTTAAATAATGAGTACCTTGGACAAAATTTTTGGGATTGTGTGATCATGTTCTTGATTGGCTATACCTGTCTGCAGTCTTAAATTTTCCTTTAATATGTGATTAAAATGTGTGTGTGCATGTACATATGTATGCCTGTAAACCTATATGTAGACTAGAGGCAGGAGGGTTTTTACTTTACTGTTTTTACTGAAGAGCGGTGTGGAATCATCCTATAGTGACAGAGCATCTCATCCCTTTCTTAGGTCTGGGGTGATCAGTTACAGACAGTTCTTTATTCACTGCTCATGGTGTCCAAAACAATGTGCACAAAGATAGAAATTAATCTATTTTCTGAAGAGCAGAGGAGTGAGAAGGTCTACTTAAAGTGCCCTTGGCCCTTGAAACATGCAGTTACACCACAGCAGGAAAAGAGACAACACGTAATTCAAAATTAGTCCTTTAATATTTGATCATGAAAAATGGCATTGTCACACTCCCAATATGCCTTTTTTCCCCATATGCCGAATGGAAGTATTCATTTCCCTTCTCCATCTCCAGCTGATCCATTGAGACTCTGAGTGTTATTTACTTTTCAGTTTCCTGAATTTATTTTCTTCTAGTTTAGCAGAAGACCTGGCGAAGTGCCATGTTGATATTGATTTATTAAAAAGGAGAAGAAAAAAAAGAAAATTAAGGCAATTGAGTATCCAGCTCTGCTGGAATTTATTTGTGGTGTCAGTGAACACTTCTTTGTTATAAGATCACAAGTTCTTTAAAGATAACACACTTCAGCTATACATTTTTCTCTCTATCAACAAAGAATCTTGTTTTCAAAGGGGATAGGAGAAATACTGGGATTGAGGACTGTAGAGAGCATGATATACATTGTAAAAGGCCTGTAAAACGAATTAATTAGACTGACTGTGGGTAGAGTTGTTTCTCTTCAGAATGTCTGCTCATGGGACTTACTGTTTTTTGTGAAGTGCTCATCACTTTTCAAGCTCAGGTCCAAACTTCTGGTTTGAAATTTTTCAAAGGTTTGGAATACCTGCTGCTAAACAAGCAAAGCATCCACAAACAGCTGTATGCTTTTTTTCCCCCCCTTTTACCTCTACTTTTTCTGTTCATGAGCCATGGCTGCTTCTGCACTTTGCTCTTTATATTCTGTTGCCATGTAGTACTGTTTGTGTCTGAACTGCTGCCTTGCTTGACCTTTTGTTTGCCTTCATCATCTTGTGCAATGAATAATTGTTACTCCATGCCCTGGGGCTTCCCCGGTTCCATCTGTTTAAAGTCTCTAGCATGCTGTTACCTGCACTGAGTTACTTCCATCGCAAGGAAACGTGGCCAAATCCTCATATTGCGGATCTCTCTGAAGAGAAAAAGCAAAAGCTTTCCTTTTGCTTCACTGAGTTCCCTGTGTGTGAGCCTGGTTCTCTGCAGCGCCTATCACTGGAATGGACTGCCAGTCTCATTGATTCTCCATCTTAGTTTGAAATCTTGTTTGGGGAAGGAGAAAGAAATTTCTTTTTCAAGTTACTGTTGTCAGGAGCAGTCAAGCACTTGTGGTGGGATTTATGTCTCAGAGGCTGGCTGATAACAGCGCTGCAGTGAAATAAGTCTTTCAATGCTAACATCTGTTCTTGGTTTTGTTTTTCTTTGCCCTCTTGTTTAGAATTTGGAATGGTTTCCCTGATATTTTCTGCAGCGTTGGCCTACTTCCCCTCGCGCCCTCCATTTCCCCCCAGTGTGGCTGCAGCGAGCCAGCGGCTCAGCTACAGGAGAAGTTTTTGCAGACTCTTAAGGTAGGACCTCATTGAGTTTTCACTTCAAAGCAGATCAGTGCCTAAGTAAATAAAAACAAGTGTGCTTTAATCTTCTCATTGAGCAAACAAGTTGGTTTGTAGTGCTTTTAAGCAAAATAAAATTAAATATTAATGTCACGACATAAAAGGATGCTAACTACTAAAGAGCAGACATTAAATTTTAAACCACTGTGTGTATCTCCAGTCTTCATGCCAGTCCTTCAGCACCAGCAGTGCTTTAGTCATCCTGTTAGCATGGCTTTTCTTATGCAATGCTTTTGTTACATCAGGTTATACAAGATTGTTAAAAGTGAGCAAGTGAGAAAACAGTGAACAGCACTGAACAAAGCTAACTTCTAAGTTGGTTTCTTCTGTGCTTTATATTGGAGGGAATTAGAGGTTTACTTGTCTTTTGAAGGTTTATTCTGCTGCTTTCATTCAGCCATGGAAGCAACAAATGACCTATCTAAATGTATTATATGATCTATTAAATCTCATTAATTGTATTCATATAAAATATGAAGTGGGAATAGGAAAAATGTCTACAGATGTGTTTCTGGATAGGCTCAAAGGTGAGCTAGCTTCCTAACCTAATTTTTAGGTTAAAAAAAAGGGAGATGTTATAAAGAAAGTGATGGTATAGCAGCTTCTCCCTCTTGGCTTCTTTTGGTAAGACACAGTCCCATTTCCCCCAGTGTTTGTAGAGTGTCTTGTTGAATGGAGACATGATCTCAGAGGAGCAGCTAAAGCAACTGTAATATTAATGGTGAACAGTTGTGAAGGCCCAGGCCCTGTAGATGATACTGCACAGAGGAACTTTCTGGGGCAAAGAAGAGATGCTCCCCTGGTACAGAATATGACTGACTTCACGGGAATCTTCGGACTCTTGCTGTAATTGCTTGTTGAGTGATGTAGGAGCTGAATCTGCATATAAAGGGCTGCTTGAAGCTCAATAATTGTGCAGCTTTGGACATTGAGTTACTACAGACCTATTGTGGACTGTACTTTAAATAATTGTATTTAGAGGCAGCAGAAACAATTCATCCCTTGTTGTCACTGGGTTTTCTTTTCTTTTGTTTTAGCAGGCTTTTTTTTATTTCATTTTGGAGAGTAAATAGTTGGCAAGATGCTTAATCCTGCGTGTTCATCCTGGAGCAGGCTGGCACTCAGGGGGTGTGAGTACAGCTGGCTAGTTAGTCTGCAAAGTGACCTATTCAGGGTATTAAAAAATAGCAGTTCCCTTAAGGACACTTAGCACGCACAATAATGCTGTTCTGCACCCAAGCTGATGTGCCGTTAGACCCTGCCTGAGGGCTGTGTTGTAAAAATGTTGCTGTTGAGCAGAAATCCAAACAGCAACTGCCTCCGCAGGTGAAATATAAAATTTCAGTTGACAGTGCTCCATTTGGGAGTTTTATAACCATTAGATTCTATGTTCAAAGCGTTGTAAGCAGTGGACCTGAGATACTGGTTAGGTCAGATGTAAACAGCAAAGCTGGCTTACTGTTAACAATAGCCAATGAAACTTAAGAAAACAAACTGGACTCTTAAATAATGTGTATAGTTTACAGTGTGTCCAAGAACCAAGAGGGCTATTTTAAAATATGGACAGGTAGATAATTATATCTCTCTTCCCTCAGATCTTGCATTCTTCCATGCTGCACTTTATCAAAGGCACTACTTCATTCCTCAATACATGAAACAATCAACAGTTCATCATTAAACCCACTTATCTTGGGGAGCTGTTCAGTAACAATCTGTCATGCAAAGGAGTTTTATAAAAGAAAATGGTATCTGCCATGCTTCAAGAGAAATCCATCATCTGGTTCATTAGGCTTCTAAGCTCTGTTGCCTGCCTAATCTAGGCTTCATCTTGGCTCAGAGAGCCTTTCATTAGACTTGATAGTGTAGACTGAAGGTAACCAGCAGATGAGTGCCAAGAAATCATGACTTCCTTTTATTGTAGACTTACTCTTTGGTGTAAGAACAGTGTGTAAGGCATGTAGGATGTGTGTGAGCTGGTGGGCTGACCCAGCTATGCACCAGATACACTCATGAGAACTGAGATGTTTATAATTTCCCTGTCTTCTCTGCCAGGCTGCAGTTTTATTACTTCAAAGTAAAGCAACATGGCATAACTTTACCATTGAAGTCACTGACCTTTTTTCCTTGGACACCAAGGGGATCTGTCACATCCTTGCAACTCCCACACTCCTTCATGCCTTTGAGTCCTTGGGCAGTCATCTACATGAGCTGCTTCTTGCAGAGTTATTACGCCATCAACAGAGGTCAGCCATCCCCTGTGGGCCTGTTTTGGGGGACTTTCTTAGGAATTTGATTCTTCCTTCAGATTTGGAGGGTTCCTTCTTCGACAGATTGTAACAATTAGTTGTTGTCTAATTATCTCCTGATACCAACTCTCTCAGCCTGCAGTGGGAGACAACAGATTGGTCATGGTTTGGGAGCTAAGCCCAAGTCTTTTAACAGTCTATCACACACTGTGACAAGTGTAGTTTGAATTTCCATTAGAAAATGTGATGCCCTATCTCAGTTTCTTGGGTGAAGCAAATATGACTGCTTTTATTTCCCCAATTCAGGATATTCCACAAACTTCAATGGAGAAAAAGCCTAATACAAGTAAACAGTTGATAAGTCTTAAAACCTGCATTAAAAAAACATGCTGTGATTTTTGTTTTGAAGTAATAAGATACTTTTAGCCAGTTACATGGCTTTTATATTTTCTAGGGACTATGTAAGCAATTTTGAAATTTTGTATCAGGGGTTTTATGCATTGTTATTGCTTTAATGACACTTTCATCAACATCACCATCCAGTAATGGAAGCTGCTCAGAATGTGCCTGATGTTAATAGGCACTGTCAAAGTTACTCTAAAAATCATGACTGACATTGATGGGGCTCCCCTCTGAACCAGCCTGTCTTACAGATTCTAGTGGCGTTAAGTTTCTGAAAAAAACAGAAGAAAAAAATCAATTCATATTCCAGCAGAATGGTTTAACAGAGAGGCTAATGCTGATATCCTGTCATTGCTGATGGGATGGAAAACAGTGTGGGTTCCACAGCTCATGGTGTGACAGACAGCACATTTTTCTACTTTTAGTGGAGCAATTGCAAAATTGCAAAAGCTGCGCACAAGTGACTGGAGCCATGAAAAGTGGAGCTGCTACTGAAGATGTGTGTTTTGAATGGCTTTAGCCAGCATGAGGTATTGCTGGACAAGGAGCAGAATGACACCTGGTGATCAGTATCTCTGTCACTGCCAGGCTCCCTTTCGCCTAGTCACCTTCCTTGTTGTGGAGGCTCTGTCCCTGGAGATTGTCATCATGCAGCTGTTACTGTAGGATTGGTACTAGGGGTTGGATGTGGCATAGAGCAGTTATCCCACATCACAGTCTGTCTTGTTGCTTGAGTTACAGAAAACAAACACACCACAGAAAATGCTGATCAAGTAAGGGACAAAGTTCTTCGTCAAAAGTAGCTCTTTAATGAAGTTGAGGTCCAGGTAGTCAAAGATTTTGAATATTCAGCAAGTTTTTATTTCAAAACACTGCATTCAGACTTGTTTCCTCTTAACAATCTAAAATATGGCCCTATAAGGTCCATGCAAAATTCCCTTTTATTTTATTCTACAGATGTTGAGATGGCTTTCCCATGGACAGTATTAAATAGCATCAAATGCCAAGGTGATACAAGATAGACTAAGATAAGAGTATGGCATTCTTGAGAAAGAAAAAAAAGTTGTGAGGAAGACAGTAGCATTCAGAGAAATATAACATAATATAATGTATAGAAGAGCCAAAAGTTTGAGAGTTTTTTTTCTTTGGATTAAAAGATAAATCTGACACAAATGGTATTGAAAGCGGAGGATATGTTCATGGGATGGAAATGCATTATTCAAGAAGAGGATGTGTGAAAAAGAACAGTGCAAAAAGCACTTGGCTGGTGTGTTGTGTGTGGAGCATCTAAGGGAGTAAAACAGCACAAGCTGCAAACTTACAAATGTTTTTGGAGAGTAATTGAATGTCTCTCTCCCTCTTGGCTTTTGTAACTCTGTGCTATCAAATTGCCACTGCTTGCCAAGGAACTGGTACTGATCAGGATCAATTTTATGTAAATGGTTTGAGACTGGAGGGAGCCACGTTTGGGGTTACACAGATATCCCATGGGATAACTGACCTTGGAATCACCGTAAGATCCCTTCAGTTTAAAATATTGCGGTTTCAGATTCCAAAGTATATTTTCTTTTCCATTTGAAACTTTTTTGAGGAAAACTTGCATGACTCTTAGCAAGGATTTCACATTTGCTTTCAGTTATGGTGAGTAGGGAAATAGTTGGTTAAATTCCTGTTTAGCTCTATACATTGAAGATGATGATATAACTTTGACTGTTTCACCTTCACTTAATACTAAAGGTTGAATAACTGGGGGGAAAAGCAAACACGTTGACTATTTAGAGTAGAGTATTATATCTGTCTCTGATTTTTGCCAGTTCAAGTTTTCTACTCTTGCAACTGTTATCTGCTTCATTTTCAGAGCTTTTCTTGCCTTTCACCAAAATAAAGAGAATTAAAACAGGTTTGGGTTTTTTTTGACCTTTTTAAGTACAGTTCAAGAGGGATGAATCTCAGGTATTATTTTTTAAATAAGCTTTTAATCTTTTAAATTAGTGCTTATTATTCCTAGCATACACTTAGGCTAAGTAGGCTGCCCATGCCAATGCATGGAAGAATTGCTTGCAGAAATGAGAAATGTATGAGCCCAGCATATTACAGAAATCTTAGAACTCTGTGGAGAGAGTGGCTTTTTCTATTATCACAGTGCTAAGGTAGTAACATATCAGTCACTAGAAATTCAGTGACATGGCTGGATACCTTTCTTTTTTTCCCTGGCTCACTCCTCCTTCAGACCTTTTCTGTTTTTCTTGATGGCAGAATATAGATTCTGGGGTGTGATTTACTCTCCTGGCTAATCTTGGTGCAATTTTTACTATAAGCTGAGGCTAATGGCAATGTTTCATCTTCACAGCAATTTCCGATTCTTGATGATTGCTTTAGCCTATGCGATACCACTGGGTGTTTTCTCTGGCTGGTCTGGTGTTCTGGATTTGATATTAACACCCATTCATGTAAGCCAGGTGAGTATCTCCTGCCTGATAATCAGCAGCTATTTTGTAAGTGGCATATTTTTATTTTGCACTAGCATGCAGTTTTATCAGGTTTTTATGTTTAACATGCTATTAATACAAATGGACCACTTTATTCCCTGAAATTTTAAACAAAATGAATTGTAGCTTTGGCATCCCAGACTGTCACAATTCTCCCTGCTGACTCTTCATCAGTGGTGAGTGTTTTCAGAACTGTACACACCTCTTGACAAGAAGGAAGAAGTAGGTAAACAAATGGGAGTATTGTTGGCTGCTGCATCTCTAGTGAAAGAAAATAATGTGTGCCTGGTGGAAAAGATGAAGTGGGGAGAAGATGATTTCTAAGCTTTTGATAGAGTATTATAAAAAAAACCAGAGGACATTACTCAGATTCCATAAAGAGAGGTCACATTTAGGGCATAGACTACTTAGTCATACTTTCTTATGGTGAATTTATTTCCTTTTCCACAAAAAGTCTTGCACTTGTGATTGTAGAGAGCTGTTGTTAGCAGTTTGGAGCTCCTGCACAACATTTGTTTTGAACGTAACCTCATCTTATTTTCTCAGCTTTAACACATTTCTCTATGTTTTGTTTTGATTTTTTTTCCCCATCAGGTGGATGCAGGCTGGATTGGATTTTGGTCTACAGTTGGAGGTTGTGTTGTTGGCATAGCAATGGCAAGGTAGGAATAATTACAGGTCCTTCTCCATTTCTTCAATTGTGATTGTCATTTAGTTTATCCTGTTAAGAACAGAACTTATTTTCTCTCATCTTCCAGAAACTTGAAATGGAAAATTCCTTTTGGGATTATAATTTGTTTCTAGTAAAGCAATAATTGGTACCATGTTAGCAGTTGCTGGGGATTGGGAGCTCCACATGCATACACCTGAATTTGGAAGTCAGATTCTTGTTCCTGACAATGGCCTCTTGTATGCATTGGTGAATTCAGCTGCCTAGTATGAGGGAGAACCTCATTGTAGCACATTTGGAAAGCACTGAAGAAAGTACTGTATGTCTCCTTCCATTAACACTTCTGGGCGTATTGATTCCCAAAGGGATATAGAGAATGTAGCACAGGCAGCCTACCCATGGTAACATTATGTTCCTCCACAGAGAAATGAGTCTGGGCCCATTTTGGGCAGGTTGTTGGATTCCTGCATAGCCTAACCATTTTGTGCTGTATCCTATGGGCTACAGTATGGGTGTATGTAGGCTTTTTATAAATCCAGACACGGCTGTCTCTGGCCATTGTGAATGCTGATGACACAGGGAGTGGAACAGCAAGAAATGGATTGCCCTTCCAAAAGGCTGCTTCTTCTTCTTCACTGAGGTCTTCTTTAGGAAAAAAGTATGGTGGGAGGGAGGAAAAATCTTTTAGGAGGTACCTAGTGAGTCTTATGTGATTAAAACCAATTACTTGTTCCCCTTACTTTGGGGTATCTGAGCATTGTCCTGGCTTCTCTGTGTCCAGTCTTTAGGCTCCAGTTAGCACATGTGCAGATACCTGCAATTGTTGGTTGCATCATGGTGTTGTGGATGGAGTGAGGGATCTTTTAGGACTTTTTTTTCCTTTTGAAACTCTTTTTTTCACTTGCTGTGCTTCATCAGAGTACACAATGCATAAAGAAATGTGAGGTTTCACATCCTGACATTTTGCAGGCTGCCTAGCAACTGCAACAGGGAGAGGAAAAAACTCCTGACCTAGGGAAAAGAAACAAGTGCTTCTCTCCCATCCACTCGAGATGCAGGCCAAAGGACTTAATCTAGCCAAATGAAGTTCATGCCCTGATTTCCTCTAAAAAGAGTTGCTTTTGATTAGCCAAGCTCAGATACAATGTTTTCTCTGTAAGAGAATAGATGCTTGAAAGCAACTGCTGTAAATGACACAGATGCCATGGGCTGCATGTTGAAGCAGGTAGAGTACCAGTTTAATCTTTTTCATCATGAATTAATCTCTGGTATATTTGCAACTATTTCAATAGTAGAGCTTAGAAGCTCAATTAACTTTATTAGGAGAGAATCTGCAGACTCTATGCCAACATGCAAATCTCAGTCTTTATGGTAGATTAATTTATTTAATATACTGCCTGGGTTAAGTTTCAGGAAACACTGACAATCCCTTTAACTACTTCAAAATTGATTTCAAACCTTGTTGAATACCTATATTTTGTAGCAGTTAGTAAATTTAAGAAATACCAACAATCTGTCTCCAAATATGTCTTTCTAACTTGGGCGATGCACAGTTCGGACGGGAGGGTTTGCATACAGAAAGGGAGGGAGGAGGTGATTTGTCACTTCTGATGGATGACTCTCCCTCCTAGGCCTATTCAGCATTTATCTGTGTAGGGTTGAATCAATGACGAGTCTGACTGTAATCTGCTGAAAGTTGTAATTAGGAAAATTAAGTAATGATTCTTGTCAAAGCTGACAAGTTGATATATTTCAGTGTCAGAACTGTGATTTGCCAAGCAAGCAGCTCTCTCTCTTAGCCATCTCTCAAGATGCTGTTAGTTTTGGGGTGGGCTTTTTTCCTTTTTGTTTTCTTCTGCTAATTTGCCAAAGCAAAATTGGTGCATCTTAGGAATTTGCTTCTTCCATTTTTGTCAATGCAGCTTGTATAATTTACAATTTTTGAACACCTGAGCCTTGCCCTGGAGGATGAGATCCTGTACATCACAGTAGGTGTTAAATCATCTGTATTTATAGTAATGCCCAGTTTTGAAATTTGTTTATCTATCTCATTTTCAAAATGATGCACGTTTTCCTCAGTACTACACATAAATCCTTCTACTCTCCACCCACTGCTGTCCTGATAGCCATGAACGTAAATGTTTAGCTAATGTGTTTGATGCATTTTTATAATTGAAAAGCCTGGCCTATTTTGGGCAGCTGGTAGGTGCTGTACCCTTTGATGGCAGCTTTCAAATGCTACTAGTTTGAAGAAAAGCAGTGTCAAAGAGCCACATTCATATAACTGCATGGAAACATAAATCTATTTCCTTTTCTCAGATTTTTTAAAATTTTTTTCCCCACATTTGCCAAGGATCATAGATATTTTTGAGGTTTTGTCCTCTGCGGCTCAGTTTCAGTTACTGCTTCTAACCTGCAGTGTAGTCAAAATGCTGAAACTTTATGGCATGGTGATAATTTCCTTAGCAACAAACAGTATTGCCAGCAGTGCAGGTTTGTGATTTTAACCGTAGGATACAGCCTAGGGCTGGATCTGCTGGGGAGCTGGAGACTGTTACCAGCTGTAGACTCAGAGGTCTGGCAAAGTATACACCTTCTCTCCTGTTGTGCCTGCTTTTTTAGCAGCTGCAGACAGTTCCTTACATGCTAGATGATGAAGGATTTATACAGAACAAAGGTGTGAAATCAAGTACAGGGTCTGAGGATAAAAGTAGTTTCTCATATTTTTTTGACCGAAGCAAGTGTTATGAAGAGTAGACTAGATGTACAGTCCTCCTTATTCTCCCATAACCAGAAAAGAAACAGAAGTCCTTCAATAACCAAGTTCAGGCTAGATTATTATTTTTTTCTATTATTTCTATTGCTGTCTGAATCCAGTAGCTGAATAAACCTTTACTTTGGGGTACATTTGACCTTTTTGGAGTTCTATGATATCTGAGAACCCTTTGGAGCACACTGCTACCCAAACTGGGATCTTTGTGTCAGGAAGAGTTACAGCTGCTTGGTAAAGGCAGGTATTTTCTCCACTTAGCTGTCATGAATGGCTTAGATGCATATCAACCTCCCAGGCCCACATATCTTTGGTGGGGGGATAGAGACCAAGGATCCCCTGGAGATCACCCCCAGACCTGTTGTCTATGAATGTCCCTCCCAGGAAGCTGATGTTTCTCATAGTGTTTCATTAGACAAGATCTGCGTCACTGCCCTTGCCTGTAAGGACAGTGATGTCTGCCAGCAGGCAAAGTGGGAATCTCTGTCGAATAAGCTGGAAGTTTACACTTTGAGATGCTTCTGCAAAGCTTTTAAAATTGCTGATTTTGACCTTAGTGATCCCAAGGAATAATTAAAGAAACTGGCAAACCAGTGAGGCCATCCTGACTCCTTGATTGGATTGTTAGGAAAAAATCCACCAGTACCAGCTGACCTCTGGCTATTGGAGATGAATGCATAAGCCACTTGAACACTGCAGTCATAAACTTCTCAGATTATATGCAGGATTGATCTCCCACTACTGCTTATTGAATTACTCACTGCTAAATTCATTGTGGAATTCAGGCATGGGGAGAATCAAAATACAAGGAAAGAAGTTGGTTTGGGGGAATGGAGAGTGTTGACTGCATTACTTCTACATCTCTGATGGTATATTTGGAAATTCTCAAAACGTTGGTAGCATTTCTTTGTAATGTAAATGTAGCATTGCATTTATCAAGTAAGCTATAGGTTTCTGCCTATAGAGTGATCTTTGTCAGGGCAGAGAAGGCATTTAGCTGATGGACAGACAAATTTCATCATGGACCAAGCTAGGTGGATTATGCTGCCATTAGCCTAATCAAAGTAGGAGCCTGTGGGGGCAGAAGATATGCTTTAAAAATATAGACCTAATGTGTCCATCCCAAAATCACATCTAAGCAGGAGATTATAGAAAATTACTTATGAATAAATGACATTGCCTTTTCTAATCTTTCCCAGTAGTTAAGTTGACATCCCCTTTGAAAAGAGCAGTTGCACTGATAATTATGCCACACAAGCACTGCTCAGAAGCATTCTGTCTCCTTGAAAGAAAAAGGAAAAAAAAAAGATGAAAAAACCAATTGTACCATCAGGTGGTATAAAGATCATAATTCCCTCTGTGTAACAGCCAGACTGCCTGAGGACTTGTGGGGCTGTCCTCCCCCAGTCTGTCAGCAGGATCTGTGTAGAAGAGGAATAGCACCAAGCTTGTGGCTTCTGGAACTTTTCAACCCAAAACAGCCACTGGCAGAGTGACCCCCTGTGTAAAGAGTTCCTTCCTTGCCTGAGCTACCACGAGCTTCATCACCAATTCATCCAAGGGTTCAGAAGCTGTTCCTTGTCATCTTCAACTAGGGATCCTTTGGAATTTTTTGGAGTTTTTCCATTTCCCACAGGAATGAATCTTGACACTTAACTATGTCTTGAATGAAACGTGGCAGCCTCCTCATATGCTAATGGTGCTCTGTGTCTGCCAAGGGAGACTGGCAAATGCTGACAAAACAGCGATGGAAGTAGTGGTGAGATCTTGTGTCCAACAAATGTAGAAGAAAAAAAAAAAACTTTTCCC